TTTTAAGGTCCTAAGAATACTCTGTATACAGTGTTTGACGAACAACGGTCTCAAACCAAAAGTATTAGAGTACTATATGAGAGAAATTGTACAGGTGAACTTACTTTTTTTTCACTTGATAGCTCTATCAGTTCTAAACTGTTCTTTCTAGGGGTCCAGCGAGGATTATCACTTATTGATGCGGTGTTATTACAGGAGGAAACCTAAACTTAACTGATTTTATTTATACTGGACAGCTTTGTCAGTTCTAAACTGTTCTTCCTATATGTCCAATAAGAGTCATCACTTATTGATCCAGTGACACGTGATGACACACTAAATGACACGTGATGACATGTTTCTAGACATACGGTGCAGATGTGTTTTATCGAGCCATGACACCGCTGGATACTACAGGATTTCTAAGGACACCAACAGCTCGACATTTTCCTACGCTTAGAAAATCATTTCATCTTGATGTTCACGATGTACAAGAACAGGTGATGTTTGTTTTTGTTCTGTTCTGTTCTGTTCTGTTTTGTTCTGTTCTGTGTTCTGTTCTGTTCTGTTCTGTTCTGTTCTGTTTGTTTGTTTGTTTGTTTGTTTGTTTGTTTGTTTGTTTGTTTGTTTGTTTGTTTGTTTGTTTGTTTGTTTGTTTGTTTGTTTGTTTGTTTGTTTGTTTGTTTGTTTGTTTGTTTGTTTGTTTGTAGTGAGGATGGTGGTGATTATGATGGTGATGGTGGTGATGACAGTGGTGATGATGGTGATGACAGGTCCCTCATGAATACCAGCTTCTCAGCTGAAGAGGCTAGCCTGTTCAAATAAGGTTTTCCAATCCAATCCATGATAATGGTGATGATAATAATAATAATAATAACAGTCTTTATTCATACTCAAGAACACCCGTCTGTGAGTTTACATTATAAAAATATATAAGATAAAATTATTGATATCTATAAGGTAATAACTAGATATATACAGTTATGGATAAAAATATTAATAATGTTAAAAAGGTAAAGGTTAAAATTGGTTAAACAAAGTTAAACAAACATCGATTTACAAAAGAACTTTTAAAACGCTCTGTTCTCACTAATGGAAGTTCAAACTCGTGTCCCCTTGGCCTAAGGTGTCTATTTAATTTATCTGGTAAAAGCTCCTGTAGTGCATTATCTTTATTATGTATTACTTTATCCCAAAGTTTCTTGTCCCTTTTGATGCTTATCTCCTTAATATTCAATTTTTCCGATATGTAACCACTTCTGTGAGCGCGATTGATGAATTTGTCTATTTGACTAATGTATTTATTGAAGTATGCGCCTCCCCAAAGTTCTATGCCGTAAGTGATTATAGGCATAATTAAAGTGTTAAACAGCATGTCCAGTTGTTTGATTGGGAAGCCATAGAACTTACAGACACGCATTATGTACATTCTTGCACTGGCTTTTTTCAACATTTCATCAAAATGCAAATCCCACTTGGAAGGGAGATCCTGTAATGTAATTCCTAAAATCTTTAACCACGTCCTTCGTTTAATAAATGGAAAAGGATCAGGCAACAACGTAGGGATATTTCTCCTAACAATCATTTCATACGTCTTTTCCATATTTAAGGACATTCGATTATTTTCAGACCATGTTTGTATACTGTCCACTTCGGCTTGGGATGTATCTCCGTTTTCATTCCCTGGTACTTCTAATGTCATGTCATCCGCGAACTTAACTAACTGGTTTATGGGGTTACCGGGTTAACTGTTTTGATGTCATTCACCATGATCGAAAAGAGGACAGGACCCAGAACTGTCCCTTGGGGAACACCTCGATTAATGTTCAAGTATTCAGTTTCTATTCCATCAACCACTACCCTCTGTTTCCTATCCTCCAAAAAACTAATCAGCCAATTAGTAACATAACGATGACGATGTTGTTGGTTCGTGTTTGCAGCTTTTCATACTTCCACACTGATGGTTAAAAATGTTCGTATTTCAGAACCCACGTGATATTTCCTACACATACTCGGGTTATGCTCCACTCAGCGTACGCTTGGCGCAACATGCAGCCAGGCCTTCTGGTTGGAGGGGAGTTGAAGAGGTATGGCACTACTATATTCTATATTGCGAGCAGCCTGCGAAGAGACAGGACACTACATAGCATTCAAATACAGGAGCACGTTACACTTTGTTTATAACTGGACTGTTATCGTCCGCAAACTTCAGTACTTCTGAATGTGACAAACATCATTTTCCCTACAGGTGCTAAAATTACTACCAGGTCCTACGATAGATGAAATTCAACATTTGCCACAAGGTTTACTCAAACGTAAGTTAGTTCCAACCAAACCTGTTTGGAATAGAACCTGAGGTCTGCTTTTTCAGTTCCAGATCACTTAATAATTAGACTAACTGACATCTCTTCTGTAATATTGATCCAGTATTACTACAGGAGGAAACCTACACTAGTTTTATTTATACTGGATAGCTCTATCAGTTCTAAAATGTTCTCCCTATAGAGGTCCAGTAAGGATCATCTCTTATTGATCCAGTGCTACTACAGGAGGAAACCTAAACTAAACTAACTTTATTTATACTGGATAGCTCTATCAGTTCTAAACTGTTCT